ATTCTAGGAGGTGATTTCAATATTGACCTGGGTCTTCAAAATAACCCTCAAGTTGACTATTTCCGTAACAGCATGCACTCCTGTATGCTAATCCCCACAATCACCAAGCCCACCCAAGTCACTCAAACATCTGCCACTACCTTGGATCACTTATGGACTAATATAACAGCTCCCCTTACATCTGGGGTAATCTATGATAGAACAACTGACCACTATCCTACCTTCCTCATAGCAAACATGGATACAATACCTCCAGAAAGCAAGAAACTCTCATTCAGGCTACACAGTGAATCAGCTTTACGCAATCTCTCTAATGCACTTCACAATATTAACTGGGAATCTGAATTCAATAATACACAGGATATAAACTCATTAACTAACCTCTTTCTCTCCAAAACTCTAAGCCTCTACAACGCTCACTGTCCCCTCCTTACCAAACAAGTAACTGACAAAAGAAAAAACAATCCGTGGCTCACAAGTGGCATAATCAAATCAATCAACAAAAAACATGAATATGAAAAGAAATTTAGGATTGGCCTAGTTTCAAAGGAAGTAGTTAAAAGGTACTCATCAGTGCTTACCAGTATCATAAAAGCCAAACTTTCATATTATGAGACTAGATCCAAAGAAGCAAAAGGCAATATGAAAAGCACATGGAATACCATCTCTAATATCCTGGGAATAAAACAACACTCCCACAACCAGATAACACTCTCTAAGGATGGCTTTACACCGTCAACTGATTTAGAAATGGCAAATGAATTTAATAGCTTCTTTTCATCGGATGGTGCTAACCTTGCCAGTAAAATCCCACAGACTCGGACACATATCAACACATATCTCTCAGGCAGCTATCCAAACTTCTTTCACCAGTCAGCCCAACAGATGTTGTGTCCATCATACACTCACTAAAAACCAAAGCTGGGAACATCAGTGAAATCCCATCCATTGTATACAAGAGAGCCTCCCAAGCCCTTGCGCCACCTATAGCTCTGCTGTTCAACAAATCCCTTCAGTGCCTGATATTCTTAAAAAAGCAAGAGTAATGCCAGTTCATAAAGGAGGTAATCCGGCAGACATAAACAATTATTGACCAATATCAAACCTACCCATACTATCAAAAGTATTTGAAAAAATTATCTACAAACAGCTCTACTCCTATCTCGTAAAATTCGACATTGTTAGCCCCTGTCAGTTTGGCTTCCACTCCCAATAGAGTACCAACGATGCAATTATTAGTCTTCTTGATATAATTTACTCAGCCCTTGACAAAAATGAGTTTCCGATTGGACTCTTCATTGACCTGAGAAAGGCCTTTAACACTGTTAATCACAATTACCTCTTACGTAAACTCCATCATTTTGGAATCCAAGGCCATGCACTGGACTATATCCAATCCTATCTTAGTGACAGACTCCAATGTGTAACCATCAATAATATAACCTCTCCCACTCTACCAATAACCGTTGGAGTGCCACAGGGCAGCATCTTGGGACCTCTCCTATTTCTTATATACATCAATGATCTGCCTAATGTCTCTAACATTCTGAAACCTATTTTGTTTGCTGATGATACTACCCTCATCTACTCTAACCCCAACCCACATACACTAAATGATGTTGTTAATAATGAACTAAAAAAAGTCCACTTATGGATGTCAACCAATAAACTAACACTTAACATAGAAAAGACCTACTACATTTTATTTGGATGCAAATCTACAAATGCAATTCAGCTTCAGGTAGATAATGTAAACATTAGCAATAAAAATGATGGAAAGTTTCTTGGCCTATTCCTAGACAAGAGACTCAACTTCAGAACCCACATACAACACATAACTAAGAAAGTCTCTAAAACAGTTGGGATACTCTCCAAAATCAGATATTATGTACCTAACTCTGCTCTCATCTCTCTATATTATGCACTAATCTATCCCTATCTTAATTATGGTATCTGTGCATGGGGTTCAACCACTGCAAACCACCTCAAGTCCATCATCACCCAGCAAAAATCTGCTATCAGAATAATAACAAATTCTGCTTTCAGACAACACTCAGCCCCCTTGTTTAACTCCCTAAACATGCTAAACATAATCTCACTCCACAAATTTTCTTGTGTCAATTACATTTACAAAATCCTGTTCTTAAACGCAAATCCTGCTCTGAAACTCTCCCTGGACAGATGTAATGGGACCCATTATCACCACACCAGAAATAAATATCTCTTTGATATCCCCAGAGTCAAACTTAATCTGTGTAAACACTCTATGCAAATAAAGGGACCCAGTCTATGGAACTCACTCCCTAATGAATAGAAAAGCTGTCCAACTTTTGCATCATTCAAAAACAAAACTAAAAAGTACCTAATCTCATCTACATAGTTTTTTTACCTTGTTGCTTTAAAATTGCACTGTATCTATTGCTACCCAATCTCCCTATCTTTATGTACCCAGTCCGAACATCTATACCATTGTGATCATTGCTGTCTTCTTATATGTGCTATCAATCTGCTGTACGGTGTCTGTTAATCTTGTTTAAATTACCAATCAAGTTGTCAATGTAATCAACCAGAGCTTTAATATACCTACTATTCTCTCTCATCTCATTTTTTTTCTTGCAATGTATCTGTTATCATTTTATTAATTCTGCTAGAATTTACCTACTTAAAATTATCTGTTAGATTAAGGACCTGCCCGAAACGCTGCGCATACTAGTAGCTTTACAAGATTGTAAATACTATGCTATGTATTCTCTCTAATCCAATGTACCTTCTTGTATATATAAATAAATAAAAATACATGACAGAATAAATAAATGTATGTGTCTCCAAGAATTTCCTTAAAGAATGAATTGTATTTATGTGTATTTACATTATTCATGATGTGATGAAGCATTTTGATTTATATTTTTTCTCGGCTTTGCCTTTTCTATTAAGTAGATGTCTTTGAGATGCTTAATTGCCTTCAAATATTTCTGAGGTTGTTTTTACTCCTGTGAATGCATGAAATTAGGTGATCAAGATTATATTCTGGGATTAACATAGTTATCTTAGATGAATGATAATACTTGGATTGACATTGTCAATGGGCTGTTAACCTTAAGATTGTAGATTAGAGATGGGGGGGCTGTTTAGCCATTCAGATTGTAGATATGAGATTAAGATTGGTCTTAATCTCCAATGGTAGACTATTGTAGCCAAGTGATGATGACATTTGTCCATCACCTGATTTAAGTGGCCTGTAGGCTGTAGATTAAGATTAATGATTTGCTGTTTAGCTAAGTGATGACTTTGTCATTCATCTGATAGAAGTGGCCAGTAGGCCTACAAGTTTCTTGATTAGTATCCACTGTACTTATCATGTAACAATTGGATGGCTTGATCATAAGCTTTATCTGTGCATAACAAATTACCAATGCTCTGCAATGCCTCTCCTCTGACTTGGCTTTGTAAATATAAAAATTTAGCCTTGGTGGGAGAAGCATTAGAGTGTATTAATCAAAAGATATCCAGAAGGCATACCAATTTTCTTCTTCCTTGCCCTCAAAACATGGTAATCGTACTTTTGGGAGCTTGTTTGCTACATGTCGGATAGTTGAGGTACCAAACTGAGTGCATGTGCTCACATCTGGTTGGGCTACTGCTGGTCATGCAAGTTTGATTAAATTATCTAGTTGATCCTGGATTATATTTTCATAAATTACTGTTTCAGCTCTGATATCCTGAAGTTTCCCCTGGATTAAATCAGCATTAGCTCTTTCTGCTAAATAAGTCTCAGAAAGGTGTTTGATTTGATCAAATTTTTCGAGTCGAGACGTGTGATTAACTGTGCCACAACAGCGGCTTGAGTGTCAACTTTATAGTGAAATTGCACCCAAAGCTGGTGTAAAAAAGTTTACACAATTATTATTATAGTTTAATTCTGGCAGTTATAAGGTGTTTCTTTGTTAACGATCAGATTTCAATCTTTGAAATACGGAACAAATACATTTAGTGTAGCAAGACATACCCTCCCCCCCCCCATACTCCCGGCCCATCCTATGTGAATGAAACTGTCCATCCTGAGTCAGTGTCGTCCACGCTGCAGCCAACCCCAGAGACGCCTTAATTAACATTTAGGCGTCTTAATTAATGTTGTTAACAACATTAACATTAACGTCCTGTGTAACAAAGTACTATATTTTGTTCACTACAAATGTATATTAATGATCATTAAAATTGTGTGTAATTTAAATATTTGTAACATTTAAATAATTTCCATCAACTATGATAGTTGTTGATGGAATTATAGCACGTGAGTGCATTCCCACCTGTCTCCCTCGCCTCATAAATAATAATGTATTATAATAGTTTACGTATCAAAAACAGTTTTAAATAAATCTTGTGTTAAAATGTATGAACTGTTGTGGGTCAGTGCACGGACGAGCATAGACTGAGGACAAGTTAAATGTCACGTTCATGTTTGGCTGCCGGGTTAACGACCACTTGGCCGTTGTTGAGAACGTCCATGTTTGGCTGCCGGGTTAACGACCACCTGACCGTTGTTGAGAACGGTCATGTTTGGCTGCCTGGTTAACGACCACTTGGCCGTTGTTGAGAACGTTCATGTTTGGCTGCCGGGTTAACGACCACCTGACCGTTGTGTTGAGAACGGTCATGTTTGGCTGCCGGGTTAACGACCACCTGGCCGTTGTTGAGAACGGTCATGTTTGGCTGCCGGGTTAACGACCACCTGGCCGTTGTTGAGAACGGTCATGTTTGGCTGCCGGGTTAACGACCACTTGGCCGTTGAGAACGTCCATGTTTGGCTGCCGGGTTAACGACCACTTGGCCGTTGTTGAGAACGGGCTGTAGAAGACTCAAGTCTGAGGTTGGGTTATGCCATTCTGTGGTAAGCCTGGTTTTTACATCAAGCAAAGTCTGACTTGAGCGATTGTCTAGTTAATCTTCATCTTTAAATGAGGATATGTTCAATTTAGTATTTTGAGGTATTTATTGTGTAATTTCAGGTATGTACGAGGGTGCATCAGTACATCGGCACTGCAGGTATGGTCAACCAGACCCAAGAAATTGGTCTCGTACAACAGCACTGCAGGTATGGTCAACCAGACCCAAGAAATTGGTCTCGTACAACGGCACTGCAGGTATGGTCAACCAGACCCAAGAAATTGGTCTCGTACAACAGCACTGCAGGTATGGAGGGATTAAAGTTACTTGGGAAAACTTTTGAATCGCAATTGGTCATAATGTAGTGTGTGTATATTCCCACAAGTACAACAGGTGTAGGGAACTAGTTTAAGTTTAACATGTTATACCTTGCAGCGGTGGCCTTCTAATAGGTATAGCCTAAGAACTCTCTACATTAACCACTTCAGAGTGGTAAACCATTCTTCTGGCCAGTAATTTGAACATTTAGTTGTGGTGTAACATGGGTTAATGTTCATCTAACATTTTTGGGTACATTTCAATCCTCTTCCCTCTCCATCCACCCTTCTGTTAGTCTTTACTATCCCACCAGTCCAATCAATTATAAACACAAAAATTACCCAAGAGGGTGATGTTGCAGCTGGGGTTAGAAGGAAAGTTTGTGTGAGTGGAAAGTGCTGGGGCATAACCTAGCAAGCTGACTATACCGTCGGACACAGTTTTGAGAGGCTGAGCACTTTCAGCTACGTGGCCATCATCCGCATCTTGCACAAAATATTGGTAGCCCCTGAACGCTGCAGCAATTCTGCAAATTGACAAATATTGTGGTCAGGCGGCAGACACTGAAGTGTTAGAGGTGAACATTCCTGGGTCTCCGGAACGAGGTAATGTGTTGCTTCACGTTTGTTGTTAGTGCTAACTGTTCATAATTAGGGGGAGAAAAGATTATATAATTGGCGTATGATGCCTTGCCGGATTATGTAATTGGCGTTTACCGTAGTGCGCCCGGCCGGACCCACCCGGGAGGACGGTTGCCAGGTACTGCTGCTGGTTCTACTACCTGTGCTGAGCCATCTGGACGTTGTTCTTAGCAGCTGGCTATCAAATACTTACCATCTGCCAACCACCACGTATACCAGGGGGCCAGACGGCAGGTTTCTGTTCAACCTATTGCACGTAAAGTGCCAGGAACCTGCTGCCTAAGGCCTTCCCTTCCACACCACCATGAAGAACGGTTGCAAAGTTCTGCCTCCAGCTCCACTCGCTGTTCAAAGCCATCTGGAGGTGATATTCACTCCAGTTGACTACAAAACTCAACACCTGGTAATTACGAAGTGCACAAGGGAAACCAGTGCCAAAGACTCCTGCCACCACTCCAGCTTCCCCACAAATACCAGGTGCTGTAACTTCTGCCTGTGGTGGGCCTGCCCCTGATGTAGAATGGCCACACCTCGATTCTGCCAGTAGTGAGCACGCCCTTGATGTAGAGTGGTCACTCCCCAGGTCTGGGACTGTCGCCTACTCTGGGGGGACCTCCCACAACTGGACCCCAGTCAACTGGAAGTTGGGAGATAAGCAATAGGATCAAGCTGAGACAGATCGCAACTTAAGCCTCCATATCAACTCGTCACTGGGTTGCTCCACTGATCAAGCAGATGCTGACCATCGTGAACTGTGGCAGGAACACCAGCAGCAGCAGTCACAGCAGGAGACGGAGCGGCTTAAAGAACAGCTCGGATATGAGAGAAAATCCATTGGCAACATTGCAGAGCTGCTCACGGGCATGAGGGAACTTTTAAGCAAAGACTGCCACCCTCCTTCCCCCTACCCCGGGAGCCGGTCGGCCGAGCGGACAGCACGCTGGACTTGTGAACCTGTGGTCCCGGGTTCGATCCCGGGCGCCGGCGAGAAACAATGGGCAGAGTTTTTCACCCTATGCCCCTGTTACCTAGCAGTAGAATTATTCTATCAAGCCTGACTATATTTCCCAGACCTTATGGAGATGAAGACACCGATGTAAAATAGTTGGTCAGATTTAGTAAACAGTTTAAGATTATGGGCAGTGAATAAGAAAATAGATACATGACTGTTTAGGAAATGTGGATAATTTGCTGGAGGCATGAGGCTCGCTTCTGGAGGGCTTTGAGCTCACTTGAGTGCCAGACATTACAGGGGGAAGCCGTGCTCCGTTTGAGCTCCCGTCAGAAAGGAACCCCTAGTGATATATCTTCAAGAGAAGAGAAGTGTGCAGACGTGCCAGCTGTGGAATCGAGCTGGGAACGTTGTGGTCTCAAGTCCTGGACAGCGAGGAGTGTTTATTAAGCTGCCCAGACATTATCGTGGGCCGTGGGAGTGCCCTGACCAGACTGTCAGAGGGAAGAGCGCCCTCGACTAGGCAATCTGTGGTAAGCACGATTTAAGCCAGTTCATAGCGATTACTCGTAGTTGGTCGTGTGCCCAGCGACAGTAGCAATGTTTATTGATAAGTTAGACATGTTTTGATAAGGCAAGAGGCCTAAAATAAGAGTGGAGAGGGAGGAACACAGAGCGACGTCCGTCTCCTCTGAGCGGTGGCAGGTGACTGAGGGGGCCCAGCTCCTGGAGGCTGAGGACCCTCCCAGAGTGAGTGAGGCCCGCCGGGCAAGGCGGAGCATGGACCAGCCCAAAATGGGGGAGTCCACTCTCATAGTATGTAGAGAGCAGATAGACATTGGAGGCAAACATATAGTGTGGTTATTTTTGTTTGTGTGTTTAAGGGGAAACATTTTTATTGGAGTGTCAATGTGTTGCAGGTTTGTCTTTGGGGAAGAAGTTGCTGAGAACTTCGAAGCCGGCACAGAGGGAGTAGCTGATGAGACTCCAAGGTAGTGGAGGAGAGGACCTTGAGCTGTGAGGAGAAGCAGTGAAGAGGAGTGTCACGTGCTTCTGTAGAGGTGAAGCACCATTGTTGTTCAAGGAAACTTCATGGTAGCAGCCTGAAGGAGCTACAGAGGCTCCTGGTAGTTAAACCCGGAAGAACCTGAAGAGATCAGGGTAGTGAACTTCCAGATGTGGAAGGGAAGTTCTAAATGATTACTTGTAGGGAGTTGATTGTTTGGTTGTCATTAGCGTGCGAGACGCAGTGAGAGGTGAATGATTGTTTGCCATTCTTGTGCCGAGGAGTGTTTATACTGAAGTTTAGAGTTACAGTCGTAGACTGGATTACCTACAGATGTATGTGTTCTAGGACTGATAGGGTGATCGATTGATCATTGTTATATATCAAGGAACATTTATACTGATGTGTGTTATTGCATTCATATGCCAATTTTCCTTGCACATGTTTACAGATATATATTCTCTTGCTGATAGTGCAACATTGTATTATGAGACTTGATCTACTTGAGGAGGTTGATAGTATCAGGTGGTGAATCAGGAGATAGGATACCACTTGATAAGCTGATGATAGAGTTCTGATGGTGTTGGAGTGCAACCTGACTGAAATAGAATAGTGTAGGATTCATTATTATTATATGTGTGTATGTACTGCGTGCGCGCTTGATCCAGTAAATGTACTCAAATTTGCTGGTGTTTGCCCTTGTCCTAGTGAGGCTTCCCAGGAAGTAGTAAAGAAGGGGAGAGAGAACAAAGAACCACTGCTGTGGACAGGGTAGAAGGTAATACTAATAAGTCAAAGGGGATTGATGAGGTCATATCACATAGAGAGAGAGTGGGGAGTCACAGCAGCTCGAGTGGGTGTGTGCACGTGACAACAAGGCTAAGCATTGGAGCCGCATCCCCTAAACGTGTGACGTTGAGCCCCTCTCCAAGAGCCAGAAGCGCCCAGTGTGATCTGGAAAAGTATAAGCACTCTACCGAATTGTGAGTTGGGTTGTCTAGAAAGAAGGATCAACAACACGACAGCACCACCAACTCACACCACAATAACTAATAATATAAATCTATATAATGCTTACTTGAAATGCACAAATGAGTTATCCATCCTTAGCTGGAACATTGCATCCGTCAAAAGTTCTGTAATTTACATCATAAAGTAACAACTGAACACACCAATATTGTAAGTCTCCAGGAGTGCAGAGTTCCTGCAAGAACCTCGCCCTCAAAATTGCTCTCATTTGTTTCTTACTTCCTCAGATCCAGTAACTCTTTCATTCTATAAATCAAACAATCCCTACCCCATCAACTTCTTCGAGAAAAGCAAACTGAGGGGCAACAATATTATGTAGTGAGTACTTATGTGGGCAACTCTATCCTCAATGTATTTAATCTATATGCTCCAGCAGGAGAGTTAAATTATATTGATCTTCCGGCCTGCGCTCAAGCAGAGCCCACAATCATTCTTGGTGACGACAATGCTAGACACAAGGACATTGGCGGCTCTCGCTTCAGAAACGGGAATGGGAATCAACTGCTGTCGCTACTAAATAGTCACGAAGATGTGCAGATTGTGGGCGACCTTGAACCCACGCATATTTGTGGAAGCATTCTAGACCTCTGTGTTGGTTTCAACGTCACTCAGGTCTGGTGCACATCTATTGTAACAGATATGTTACAATATCAAATGTTATACAGGATATCAGAAAAAACGATATGTCAGATATTCCTAGATTGACTACTCTATGTATCTGAAATACCATCCTGCATGGTGGTATTTTTAAACGCAAACGGCTCAGTGTTCCTCCTGCTCGCCGTAAAGACTTTGTCACTCATGTGTCAGTGTTACAGCACTTATGATCCCTCCACAGTCGAGATACTTAACGACGATCTAGTACAGAACATTCAGATGTTCGCTGACCCTTTAATTCGGCCCTCTGCACCAACCAGTGGTCGGAACGATATGAAAAGTAATAAACACCATGTCTATTACAATGACCCTAAACTGCGTACTTAGAAATGCACTGCTAAACAGTTGGACTTGCATATAGGGAAACACGTACGCCAGCAATGCTCAAGCTCTTTCAGAAAGCCCTAGCCAAGGCGAAGGAGCGCATGACAGAGCTCAGGCAAGATAACTGGGACACTTGTGAAGTCTCAATTCTCACACCCCCTCAGCCAGGCATGGAAGGATATTTAAAGGCGATAAGATCGTTCAAGTGTCACACCCTCACCCTCTACACAGAGCAAACGAGGTTGTCGATGCTTGGGCAACCTCCTCTAGCTTCAATAATCTTCTCCCAGATCATAATCAGATTAAATGTTGGTTACGGAGATCTAGAAAGGCTCGTTGACTTCATGATCCAAAAGGAAGGTGAATGCAGCGTGCCATTTACCAAGTTTTTTTGTTCGCCCTAAACAAAGGTAAAGCCACATCACCCGATGAGGATGGTACCACTTATGACATTTTGCGTTTGCTTCCTCTAGTACCAGGAAATCCCATTCTTGAAATATAATATGAGCTATGTAACTGAGGAACTTCCTATCTCTTTGACCAACAGTATAATCATTCCAATTGCCAAGTTAAATAAAGATAATACGTTCTGCCCAATTTCCCTTACTAGCTGCA